ATTGAATTGAATTGAATTGAATATATATACACACACACATTATATATATATATATTTATATATATATATATATATATATACACACATACATATATGGTTAAGGAAAGTGCTAATGAAAGTTATACAATAAAGTGCCATATGAATGTGCATCTATAGCCAAAACAGTATGCATGCAGAAGAATTCAAGACCTCTGGCAAAAATATATGACACAAGAACCTGATACCAGAAGAGATTGATCATTGTCAGTTTTTTCGTACACAAACTCAGTACACTATATTTTTAAATGAGTACCGATGGAAACTGTTGCTACTTTCATTAAGGTTTTATATTTAGATAGATAATCAACACCACAACCATACAGATATAGAAACAGCAAAGAACAAAATCAAAAGGACAAGCTGCAAGTAAAAAAAAACAAGACTTATGTATAAGAATTATAATCTTATAAAAAAAAGGGCTGAAACATCTGGTATAGTATTTATAAACATAGGGCCTAAACTGAATCTACGTGAAATGCAGTTAAGTAAAATAATATTAGCAAACTGTACTTAAGTATTTTCTGAAGAAAAAAAATCATACTTATGAAAATATGTTTCACTCCTTTTTGCAGCGGCCTTCTTGATGTCAGATCTGTAGCATGATGTCTTGATAGCTCAAAATGCACTAAAATGTTTTTAGACAATGTTCAATCACTTTGACCACTCACCATATTTGCCTTCCAGCAACTGCCTACACTTCCCACAAAAACATAAATCAAGTTGAAGGAATACTTGGGAGAGAAGAACCAGAGGCACAGGTACAAGGGGACATAGAAGTACTTCCACAGAGATCTTAAAATAGCAGACGCAGGCAGGCTTTTGATTTCAATAGACCTGTTATTAGAACATTTTGGGGGGGGAGAACCTTTGATTGTATTAAAAAGTGTTTTTACCTTTTTGTTAGGGCTAAAGGTGTCCAAAATATCCTTGGTTGAATAATCTATAACAAAACCTCTAATTGGAACTGGACGAGATAGCGATTCCCCATTTACTGCAAAAATCAAGCCATCTTCACACAGAAGAAAGACACACACACACACACACACACACACGCACACACACACACACACACACACAAATTGTTAAGCATGTATACATGTAAAGCAGAAAGAGAGTTGTTGAGTAATAAAATAAATAAAAAGAACTCTTAAAATGAATGCATCTTGGATATTAGTTCCGAGTACGCATAAAGCTTGTAAACACTGGATCTACATGTTTTTGCTAGAGGATGTCATTGTGACCTAACACAACAAAGGATGAACATTGATTAACATTAAAAAAAATATTGAGGACACCACTTAGACTGAAAAGTAAAAAAAAAACTGCAGAAGATATACACAAAAATATATTTTACAATAGCTTATTGCAGTAAGCAGCAAGAAAACAAGCTTAAGAGGAAACAATACGACTACTGACTTCTACTGAGTATTCAGTTAGTAAACTTACCCCCAGTAGGGCTGTAGGAGATAGCAAACACTTCCCCTCCAAATTCATCTTTTTTAATTTCCTTGACAAACTCTCCAGTTTCTGCTATAAAGCACTGGATGCGTCCATTCTCTCTATCTGCCACACAAATTTCCTTTTTATCAGGAAGTAACACCAGGCTGTGGGGAATATGAAAAGGTATTCGCCTTCTCCTGTCTGATGAGCCTATAGTCCAAAAGATAAGACAAGGTTAAAATAATGTAAATTGTGTCTGGAGACACTATGGTAGCAGTAATCTCTTAACCTTCTGGATCTATTTGTGTTAGTTTCATAAATCAAGAAACAGCGAGGTTTGCAAATACAGCTTTGCATTTAAAATTGATACATGTACACTCCACAGCTAACACAAGTATAACTAATTATAATCTCCACAAAAACTTGTGTGGCAGAATAATAAAGAAATTATATTTTATGAGATGTTAATGTCACCTTAGTGTCTAATACTTCTTACTACACATATGGTTTAAGCATTGTAGCAAATAGGCTAATATCCAAGCTTTGCTGTGTGTGTGTGTGTGTGTGTGTGTGTGGCTGGTGAGATACCTGCACCCCACTCAGACAGGTATTTGCCATCAGCAGAGAACTTTATTATCCTGGCATTACAGTAACCATCAGAGACAAAGATGTTCCCACTTTCAGTGTCAACTGCCACATCAGTGGGCTGGCAGAAATGGTTGTTGTCACTCCCTGGTATAAAGGCCTCTCCTAATGCCATCAAGGTTTTGTCTTTGCCATCACTGCTAACTTTTAACACCTGATGAGTATACAAAGTGAAGCATCTTAAACTTTCCCTTTTGCATTTGTGGTCATTTAAACTAAGTTAATTGATACAACATCCGCTTTAAATACACAATCCTCAAACCTTATTCTTATAGGTAATATACAATTTCAAAATGTCTCCATCTTTTAATTTATTGGCAAATATGAAGTGCAATCTATACACACTCATTGAGAATGCACCTTACAAAAACAGCAGCTTACCTGATGAAGAGCCACATCAGTCACCCAGTAATTATTCTCTTTGTCTGTTGTTATTCCATGAGGCAAAAAAAACCTGCAACATCAGAGAAATGCTTCATTATAAGACAATTATGACTGTGTTTGAGATGCCTGGTTGTCGGCGCTCTAATTCACACACAAAAAAACAATAACAAAAAAACACTAAAGCTCTGTATCACTTACATGTTTCTGCCAGAAGCCTTCAAGATACTGCCCTTGGATGGATCCACAACTAAAATGGCAGACTGCTGAATTGGTCCTAGGGACCTCTGCTGGTATTTTGCCTGATTGTTAAAAGAGCTGGAAAACAAAAAACAAACAAAGAAAAAAACCATGAATGTCTTTTTGCATTTTTATAAAAACAATGTGTGGTGATTTTTCTAGACGTTAAATGCAACAAAAAGTATTTTCATTTAATAAGTAAATTGTCATCCACGTCACATTATACAAAAAAGTGATTAGAGCTGACTTCTATTATGCACTTTTTTTTGTGTTATCTCATACTTATCCTTTCATCCTACAATCTACTGGTAAAATCACTTTTTCAGCTTCCTTTCCTCCTATTCTTCATTTCTTAGACATGACTGGTAACTGGCATCCTATTAGACTAAAAAAGGTTGCTGTCTGAGGAGGCACTAAATGCTTTTCTTAACTATAATAGTAATTTTTTGAACCATCAAGACTAAAACTTATTTGGATTTTTTGTTATACAATTAATAAAAATTGAACTGCTAATACAAGATCTGTGTTCTTTGCCAGTAAGGTGAAGGCATTACATTAGACTGAGAGTACACAACATTACTGAGAGGGGTTTTTTGGTGTTCTTTTGGTTGAAAAAGCTGTTTAAGAGAAGAATGGTTATAACTTAAGTAAAACAAACTTACTCTGCTCCCCAGTGGTGGTCACCTCTGTGAAAAATGACCAAGTTAGAATCTGAGTCAAGAGCAAGTCCTGACACCTGTCCTAGCTGAAGTGAACTCTGTGGCCAAGCTGAAACTTGCTCAAAATGGTAGTCTATAACAAACACACACACACACACACAAGTTAAGGTATGCTCAACACAGTGTCAAAAAGTGGTACCTGGTATCTGATGATAATAAATAAATGTACACAGTGTGGTAAAGTGCACATACAATATATCAGTAACAAAACTAGTGCTCTGTATTTGCAGACTGGATACAAATCAGTGATTATTCTGGGCTATGACACTCAAGAATTAAATTGGGACCACGGCAAGATTGGATTTCAGCTAGTGATTTATGTTTCAACCGTCAATGATAATTTAGAGCTTTGTGTAATCATTGGAAGAAAAGCGCACATGTTTGCATTACCTAATTAGCTGCATCTCATTCCCAGTATCTAGTTGGTATGACTTGTTTTATTCATGCTTCACAATCATTTTCAGTTGCAGTTATTTATGATTCAGTGGTACTACCAGAGTAGTACCACTGAATCATAAATGGCAGACAGAGATGGCAGACAGAGATGGCAAGTAAAGTAGAAATCCTTCGTTACTTTACTTAAGTAGAATTTTCATTTGAACTTGAGTAGTTTTTTTCCAGATGTTTTACTTTTACTTTTTAAATGTTCTTAAAATTTCTGATTTCATGTTTTTAAATTAGATATTGGGTTTGTACACATGACATTATGTTTTTTCATATTGTGAAATGTGATGCTAAACAAACTGAGGTAGACTAACTGTGTTATTTGCTGTACTGTGATGGCTTTAAAGTAAATAACACTGTTGAACTGCACAGAGGACATCCAGTAAAATATTAGTATAAGCAGTAAATCAGCCAACAACTTGTAAAACATCAGCTGACATCTGGTTGAATTCAGGTGTGTAAATCTACAAAGAGCAGCAGGTCAGCTGATCACAGCCTGTACACTAAGAAAATCCACTGGAGCTCTCAATAAAAATTCTTCTGAGTTGTGATTTTTTTCCCCCATAATGAGCCATTACAACTGATTTCAGGATTCCCCCACCTAAATCCTACTTTAACCCCTGACCGTACTTGTTTTCGTGTTTAAAGGCAAAGTCACCCTCTACAATATAGGCAACAGAAAAAAGATACATGCATATTTACATACTTCAAATTTATGTAAGTGACTGTACATTGGGCTTGTAATGCCTTTTTCAAGGTGTAAGAAACGTACACTTGCCTGAAAGCAGACTACACTGGAATTAGTGCCTACACTACACCTTCTCAATTTAAACATCATTATATTGTTATTACATTGTTATCCTTAGCTTAAATTCAATTCAAATTTTTTAATTCAATTTTATTTATATAGCTACAAATCACAACAATAGTTGCCTCAAGGTGCTTTATATAGTAAGGTAAAGACCCTACAATAATACAAAAAGCTCCATATTCTTATAGTATTTGTGTGTGTGTGTGTGTGTGTGTGTGTGTGTGTGTGTGTG